AAATGATGGTGATGAGCAAGAGGGAAGGGAAATGGGGAACGCTTTTGTGGGGCTTTTTGGATGAAATCCGTGGCATTTGGGGCCAGCCCCACAGGAAATACGAGAAGAAGACCAAGGGAGGTAGCTGGGCATCAGGAAGGGATTCTAGGTGCCCAGGCAGCACACTTTAGAGAATGCTCTTAAACCCTCCTAGTAGCTTAACAGAGGAAGGATTAGGCACACTGAAGATTGTTGGGCTGTCCTAAGATATGAATGGATGTATTTCTAAAAGTTTGGACCCGAGGGCCAAGCCTGGAGAAAAGAACAAATAAATGAAGATTGATGGGAGCTATTGATCAGAGTGAATGTGTTTCCAAATTCTGGCACTGTAATCCTGAGGATATGTGAGGAAAAAAAGATTTCAGCTGGCACACAGGCTCACACTAAAAGATCTAGCCATTTCAGTTTTCATTCTGTCTTTCCTATAAATTCCAGGGCCACACATCTGATTGGTGTTATTGAGACCAAGAAGAGGGCCTGGATGGGCCCTAAAAGGTACTTGTATTCCACAGCTGCCCCACATGTCTTATGGTCAGGCCATACCTACATCTGACACCCCATGGCCTCTCCCGGAAATATTTCCTTCTGCAGCAGGCTCTGGTCATGGACCTGTCACAGATGACTCTGCCCTGCAGCCCCTATGGATGACTGTGCCCTCTGCGGCCCTCCTCAGTCAGTTCCAGGAGGGGTTCCTCTCCTACCCATGAGCATCCTGCCCAGTCAACCTCCTGCAAGTCAGTCTGGGTCAGTTAGTACACTGCCGCCCCTTCTGTAGCAGCCCGTCTGCCTAAGTTCTCATAAAGCCTCTCCTGGATGGCATATGCTTATCTATTTGTGATCTCTGTCTCAAGTTGTGCAGGCTGAGCTAGTGACACCAGCTGCCCGTCTGCCTAAGTTCTCATAAAGCCTCTCCTGGATGGCATATGCTTATCTATTTGTGATCTATTTATCTTATCTATTTATTTGATCATTGCTGGTGTCAAGAGGGGCTGGCACTGGAGCTGATTACAATGAAGACACCTGGCAGCCAGAGAGTGACAGGAAGCAACAAGGAATTACCAGGAGCCACCATCTCTGATGGCCGAAAGCATCCTGAGACCTGTTGGGAGCCACTCAGGCCCAGGGGCAGAAAAAACTGCTAACACTAAAAGAGATGATAGCTAGTAGCCTCTGGCACTCAAAACCCAGTACTGCTTACTCTAAAAGAGCTGGTCGGTGAGTCACAAAGGAGGATGCAGTGTTGGATGATTGTAACCCTAACAGCTGTGGCCCACACAGCTGAAAATATTTCCTCTGATAATAATGAAAAAGTCTGAAGATCCCCATTGTAGTTTACATTATTTTGTTTTCAGTGTACATAATACTTTCTATTATTAGGGCATACTAGCTTTTCACTGATAGAGAAAATAATTAATAGAAATTTTAAAATCCACTTAGTGAAAAAAGAACAAAGTAGTATGGTATTAACAGATTAATTTACTGGCATTCTGAGATATGTAATCAAAGCAGAGTGAGCTGCGTCGAGGCACAGGGAGGAACACACGTAGCTGCTCTGTAATCAGGGAAGGTGAGGGACTTGAGGAGGATGAAGACATCTGTGTTGGTAGAGGAAAGGGATCTGAAGGATAATCAGGAGTCCAGGTGGGGCTTTTATGAGAATAAAGGGTTCATATCCATCTCTGGATGGACAGAGGGCTCAACAGGTCTTCAAGGATCTGGTGGAGGTGGCATAGAGGCACTGGCCTGGGGAGCTGCAAAGCAAAGCCCATGGTGGATCAAGGGAGAGAGTAATGGTGTAGGAGAGTCAAGGGGGTTCCTTCTAGCCTGAGGTTTTCCCTCCAGATGTGTCATGAAGGAAGGCATGTACAAATGACAGTGACGATGACAACAGTGATTTTTGTCTGTTTATGTGTGCAGGTTGCAAGTACCTCACATCTAGGAACTCATTCAATCTTCACAAGAACCATGTGAAATATGGATCTTTTTTACAATGAGGAAGTTGAGGTACTGAGAGGCTAAGTGACTTGCCCAAGGTCACACAGCCAGTGAGTGGTGCAGCCGGACACTAGTAAGCTCTGCATTATGAAAGGGCAGGGAGGCCTAGTGAACAGGATGGTGTGGCTAGCTCCACCCAGCACCTGAGTCCTGCCACCCAGAAGGTGACAGGGCCTTGGTCATTCATGGAGTCAGGTCTGGGAATGAGCACACCAGGTCAGCTGAGCACCTCCCTCCCTTCCCCACCCCAGCCAGCCCTTTAAGTCATGGAGAGGCTGTCATCCTGTGACATCACAGGGAGATGACAGGCGATGACTTTGCCAAAAGAGTGACAAGATCTCTGTTGCTGAGAAGAGGCACAGCTGTGAGGCAGCCAGAAAAGGTCAGATCTCTCTGAGCCAGGAGTGGCTACAGCCTCTAAGGACCAGGGAAGCCTCAGAAACAGAGGGACAAAGGGGCCCCAGGGGACCAAACCTGGGTAACAGGCCAAGGGCTGGGCACCCAACTCTGCCCTGCACACTGTGCTCCCAGCTCAGAAACTTTCAGTATGGCCTATCAGAGGCTACTAGCTGTATTTCTCTGGTTTTGTGTTTTTTACCATTGTATTTACCATTGTATTATACCATTCATGCACTACTTAAATATTAATTGTCTTCCCTTTAGACTGTTCCTCTGTGGGGCTGTGTTCTTTATCTGATCTTGTTCTATGCTGCCTGACACATGGTAGATGCTCAATAATATTCATTTAATTGAAGCCTCACCTCAGCTCAAGCTATTCAATGTATGGGGTCCCTCAGGGGAGTTGAACTCTCTGGCTTGGTGATGGAGGGGACAGCCACCCAGAGCCCAGGTAGGATGAGTCTTGCTTCTCAACCTCTTCCAATGCTACTGTGGAATCTCAGTGAGCTGGAGCCTGTCACGTTCTTCCCAGTACCCAGTGGTAGGGTGGGCCTCTTTTAATTATGGCACTGATAATTATTATGGATTATCTTATGGATGTTTATCTTATGGATGTTTCTGAAGGCTTGGCTGGAGAGTCTAAATGTTCCATCTGTAAGACAGCTAAAAGTTAAAAGTATGCCCCAACTAACACATATTTTAGCTAAAGGTATATAATTTAAATTCTGTAGAAGTCCTAATGCTGAAGTCCTAACCCTCATGACCTCAGAAGGTAACCATATTCAGAAAGTCTTTCTAGTTTTATTTAATTAAGATAAGGTCACCTGGAAAGGGGTGTGCTCCTGATCTGATATGACTGGTGTCCTTATGAGAAAGGGGAAATTTGGCAGAGGGAGAGCACCAAGTAAAGACAACAGCAGGCTAGGGTGTGGCCTCCTGAAGCCAGTGAACCACCAGAAAAGTTAAGAAAGCCTCAGAGGAACCAACCCTGTGAACACTCCACCTCAGACAGCCTCCAGAACCAAGGGAGAATGCATGTCTGTTGTTCAAAACACTGAGTTTGTTTGTTTTGTTTTTTTGTTTTTTGAGACAGGGTCTCACTATGTAGTTGAGACTGACCTGGAACTCACTATGTAGCCCAGGCTGGTCTCGAACTCACAGCGATTCTCCTGCCTCAGCCTCCCGAGTGCTGGGATTACAGGTATGCACCACCACCCCTGGCAAGCCACCGAGTTTGAGGCTGTCCATGCCAGCCACCCTGGAAAAGCCACACGGCTGTTTCCAACAGGACTCTGGTCGTGGCAGGCAAGTGAGTCATGGAGAATTGCTGTGGAAAGAGGGCGGTGGCACCCTTCCTGCTAAAAGGGATACAATAAGCTGCTCCTTGTTAGGTTAGGGGAATGCTTGTTGCTGACAAGCTTCCCCTGAGACTAGGCCAGCCTCCACCTCAAACGTGTCCCTTTCCACATCCCTTGAGCCACTCTTCCTGCTCACTCCCACTTCCTACTTCCTCTCCCAGCTTGGCCATGCCAGAGCTCAACGTGCACTCCCCTGGCTTTCCATCAAAGGTCCCAGATGTGCAAATACCTAGACTGGCTCCACACGCAGGAGAGGCCACTGCCAGATCGGGAGCAAGAGAGCTGCCCCACGCACAGTGGAGGGCTCCTCATGCCAGTCTGCTGGGGCCCACGGTTAGAAACACCCAAGAATGCCCATGTGTTGTGCCAACCGCAGAACAGAGTGTGCAACGCAGCCTGCTCCTGCAAGGGAGATAAGAGGTGTCTACGGTCTGGACAGTGCATACCAAGGAATTGTTGAGTTCTGGATACTGAAGCAGCAAATAGTATAGATTTTGTTCCTTTTGCTTGTGAATATATCATAGGTTTTCAGCTGGAAGCGTGTGCATGTGCACATAAGCATGTTTGACAGAGATGGAGAGAGAGACACACATACACACACACAGAGAGAGAAAGAAATAGTATAGCCAAGCCCTCTGTAACTTCCACATCCATGAATCAGCCAAAATCAGATCCAAAATAATTAAAATAAATTATATCGGTGCACAACATGTATGGGCTCTTCTTGGTCATTATGCCCTAAACAAAACAGTTTAATGACATAACAACTAGAATGTATATTACATTGCATATTATAGGTACTGTAACTGAGAGAGGATTTTAAGTACAGGAGAAGGTGCATAGGTTACATACAAATGCTATAGCATTTAACATAGTGGGCTGAGCATCTACAGGTTTTGGTATGTGTGGAGGGAGTGTGTCCTGGAGCAAACCAATCTCTTGTGTATACGGAGGGTCCATTGTACTATTAAAACCCTTGAGGAGATTTAGAGCCTAGCCAACTTTTCCCTGGGATGCTCAGTATCTGTGTTGAGTGAGGCCATCCTGAAATGGGGGTGGAGTGGAGATGCTTTCCTCTTCCCAGCTCTTTTTTGACCCAGAATGTGAGATGAGAGTGCATTGACCAATGATCCTAATGGACCAAGACTAAGGGATTTTTCCTATGCACGAAAAATTTTAATGCTAAAATTTTTGTCCACCTCAGACTAGACACACACACACACACACACACACACACGTACATACATACACACACAGAACTCTGAAAGGTACCTCAGAAGTTGTATGCAGCCAGCTTGGGATGTACAGAGTGCCCAACCTGCCCTGAGGAGAGACCATTGCTGTTCATCACTGCTCTGCCCTAGAAACTCTTTCCTAGCCAAAGCTGGGACTGTGGATTAGAACCCACGGATTCCCCAGCAATGGGAAGTATTCCTGCAGAGGTGCCTGACCCCTTCTCAGAATATGCTGGGGAGGCCACAGATCCCGGGGAGGAGGCTGACCTCAGGCTCAGCACTTCCTCCTTAGAGATGTTTCAGATCGACTGCCTGGCTTGGGTCAAATTTTGCAGTGTTTCAAATCCTAAAACCTCTAGCTATGCATGTAATTTCCCCCCTTTCGGTCTCCCCCTTACCTTCTCTGAAAGTTTCTCTCTCATCTTGGCTCTGTTTTACATGTAGGAAACTACATTTGAACCTCCTATTTGTTTTCACCCTTTGGGAAAGGTGAAAGAGAGAATAGAAATTATTTCCTTCATTTATCTGGAAAAACTGAGGCCTGACAAGATTTGGCATCTTGTTGGAGATCCTGCCTGGCTTGGGAATAGAAAGGCGATAGGTTGTGCAGCACAGCCAAGGAGGCCAAGAGTTGTCACTGCGTTTTTCTCATGTGATGTGCACTCTACACAGTGGCCGCAGTGATAGGTCACCCATTTGATACACAGCTCCTCAGAAGGGCGTGCAGTGTCTGGAAGAGCATACGGGTATATCCCATGACAAGAGAAAAAGCAGACCTCAAGTCAGTCAGTATGGAACACACAGAATCAACAGACCACGTATCATCTCTTCACTCTTGTCTGCAAGTTGCCTTCTGATCCACATTGAACCCAGTGCTGATAGAGGCCAGGGATCCCTTCTCTCACAGTTATCCTCTGTCTGTCCACTTAAACTTCCCAAGTCTGCCTTTATCTTTACCTGCATCTGTTATCTGCCTATCCAACTTTGTAGGACTCTCTGTTCCTTCAGTCTTGAAAGGAGAGAATCTACAAGACAAGCACATCTTCTTTTGCTAATATTGACCAATCCTTAGGGCATCATTTCAAGATCTGTTGATGTCTATAAATGCTTGTCTATGTCCTTTACATAAAACCTCCTTTACACACAAGGAAGAGAGGGAGGAAGGGGCAGAGGGACAAAAACCCTATTATATCCCATTAGATGAAGCCACTGAGTCTCCAAAAAGGACACTCAGCCTTCTGGTTCCCACATCAGAGAACAAGATGTGGAACAGCCCCACCTCCAGGGCCAAAGGACCCCTGAATTGTCAAACCTATCCAAAAGCACCCTGAGTCCTCTGCCACATAGCAGGGCTGGTTCTAGTAATGACCCGCCCAATCATCAGTGACGTCCAATTGTTTTGGTCAGGTTCATTCCTGCTCCATGAAACAGTTAAGAGCTATCCTGCCCCACTGATTGCCAGACTCATAAAGGTGGACCCACGTGTACTTCCTTGTGGCTCCAAGACACACTGGCTCACTCATTTGCCCACACCCAGAGGGAGAAAAGGCAGCAGCAGGCAGCACTTCCACCTCACATGCAAATCAGCCCTGAGAGTGCAGCTGGACTCCTCCTGCTGCTCCCGGGCAATGCTCCTGGGCAAGCCCTGCAGAAAATGCCATCCTGGGCGCTGTGTGCTCATCCTTGTTCTTGGTCTCCTGTGCGACGCTGTGGGCCTGGTCCTTTTGCTGCTGGGGATTTTTGCCACACTGAATTACTGGGACTTCTTGGTCTACACCGGGGCCCTGTTTCTGGCATTCAGCCTGCTGTTCTGGGTGTCCTGGTATACCTTCAACATCGAAGTGCCTCTTGAGAAACTGGACTTGTAGCGTGGCCGTGGGCAGTGGAGAGATGCATGAGCCACATGCAACCATGAACCTGGAGCTGACAGGCGCCCACCCAGGATATTCCACGGGGACCAGGTGAGTTCACACAATCCTGCCCGGAAGGGTGGTCAGGGAGGAGGGGACAAGGCCAGGACAGGACAGAACAGGCAAGCAGCTGGACAGTACCCCGGCTAGGGATTCGGTAAACCTGGGTTCTAGTCAGTGCTATGCTGGACCGGCCAAAGAATCTGAAGCAAGTATTTCTTCTCTGGGAACTATTTTCTTCAGAGAGGCCAGACAGAGCAGCTCTACAACCCCTTCTACCTCTGTTATACCACTAACAATCCTGTCTGCCATGCAAAAGGGAAGTTATCCCTTTAGTTTGCAATTGGGGAGAACAGAACCCATCTTGATTTTCCACTGGGGAAAATTCCTGCTGGGGGAAAAAAAAGGAAAGGATGGAAAGTTCTCCAGTGGCTGTTGATGCCCTTGCGTGCCTGGAGGGGTGTGTGCTGGGCTGCAGAGGAGCAAGCAGAGCAGAACCATCCAGAACGGCCCTTCTCACTTGCTTCCTCCTACACCTGCCTGGGTTGGACACACAAGGCAGGGTCAGATCCCGCCCCCATGTTCACTTAGCAGCGCCCCTATCCCACCTCCTCATACACATTACATGCAGCCAACATATATGCCTGAGCCAGCCTCAGCTCCAGAAGTCAACAGACCATGGATTCATGGGTTTCCTCTGTCGACCTGTGTCACAGCCTGGCAAGCAGCTCCGTTAACTGTACGGTGCCAAAGAGGCAGCAGTTGTAATATATTTTCCATCTTGACAATGTCCAGAATATAGTGCTGGTCTGGCCCTTACAACTCTGAATTAAGGACGGGCAGTGTCCCCGGGGGACTACAGCTGGAGCCTTGGTTGGTTTGATTGTCATTCTCTCTTCCCCAGATGGGCCAGGACCTGCACTCAGGTGCAGCCAGGCTCGCCCTTTTGATTAGGAGATGTAGAAGCAAAGGTCATTGCTGAACTGGAAGCAGGAAATAATGAGTGCACCTTTTATGGGAAAGTATTGTAAAGAGCAGCGCATTCAGGAGGTCCCCGTGGCATGCCTGGTAGGAGACATCGGAATACCTAGGACCCACTCTGAGCTCCCACATCCAGCTGGGTGACCTTGGGCAGTCTGCATCCACCGTGAGCTTCAGTATTCTCAACTGTAAATGGAGGGTCGTAGTCCCCACCTTTGTTAAAAGGACCAAACACGGGTAAGGCAGGAAAAGGCTCTTTGCAAATGATGTTGATAGGGAAAACTTTAATAGGGAAAATTTAGGAAATGTCACAATGTAAAATAACTTCTGCCCCTCTGCTTAGTTCAGAATGAATTGGTACCAGGGACACCTAATCACCCACAAAAGTTTGTAAGTGAAAAGAACCATTGTTAGCTTTGTTAATCAAACAAGCTCCCTTCCTCCTGGCTAGAGTGGGTAACTCAATGAATCTTAAAGGTAACTTCCCTGACAAAGAACTGCATCCGGGTTGAAATTCAAGTGCCTTGCTATCATGTTTTGGGTATCTGTAAAAATGCAGTGTAACTAACTAAGTAAGATCAAAGCTGTAAAACCCTATAAAAGAGGGAGTTGTAACCCAATGGGGGAGTCGATCAGGGCACCACCATTAGGTGTGATCAGTCCCCATCGATGGAGTAAACTTTTTATTTTACTTCCATTCTGCTGCCTTTCTGTGGGTCACTTGCTATCTCCTTCAGTAACATTGTGGTTCCCACAAACATCAAGGGCTGTTATTAAACACGTGGTTTGGGGTGAGTAAACTGAACCAGAATCCAATCTGGGAATACTTGGAGTTCCTGAAGCTAATAATGGAGGGGGTCAACTCATACTTTGCATTATGAAATTTTAAAGCAAGGGCCATCATCCTCATTTGTTTGCTGTTTCATTGGCATAGGTCAGCTACTGTGTGAGGCCCTAGGGATGCCAAGACGCATGAGGGCTGTGCTGTCAGGGAGTTGACTGTCAGGTGAGAATGACACATCTCAACCAAACAGTCACACTAATAACAGTGTAATAACACAGTCAGGTGCGGCCCAGGAAGGAAAGAAGCATCAAGCCACAAGAATATACAATATTGAAATGGACCCAGAAGGTGGTGACATTAAGCTGAACACCAAATGAAGAGTAGGACTGGAAAAATCTATAGCCAAATGACTTGGAGAAGGGAAACAGAAGGGCAGAGCGCGAATACTAGGCCCTGTAGTAGGTAAAGGCTGAATATGGCAGGACTTTGAAGGCCTCATGAAGGATGTTGCTTATTACTCTAAGGACAATAAGAACCCACTAACTTACACTTGTCCAGAAGGGACACACACAAGATGTGAGCATGGGTGGAACTTGACATAACTGGACCTGTGTGTCCAAAAGACTACCCAGACCACAGCAAAGATGGTGGCCCTGCATGGTGCCACCAGTTGAGGGGCTGAGACCCAAGGCCAGCACAAGGCTCGTTGTCTCACTCACCCTTCCCTCAGCCAACAGATACCTAACAGCCCACTGGTAAGGACCACAGGCCAACTCCACACAGACTCTGACCTGAATCCAGTTTTGTTCCTTTCTAGCTGTATGACCCGAGGGGCAAGTTACTTTACCTCTCCATGCCCCAGTTTCCAAATTTGTTAAGTGGAGATGATATGGTTAATAACAACCCCTCCCTCCTAAGGATGCTGCTCAGATTAAGTGTATTATTATCTGTTCAACACAATGGCTCTGTAAAGCAAAAGGTCATTAAACCTTGGTTACAATGCAGAAAGCTGGCTCGGGCAGAAGGGGAGAACTTCCTCCAAAGTAGAAACCTTTGAACTATGATTATCATTTGTTAAGATAGCCTCTGTGGTACTAAGGTTTGTCAGTAGAAGTGAGAGTATGTGCTCCCCCAGAAGGCGAGTATTATGCTTAGGCTCGGCACATTAGAGGATGAAAGTTCCGTTGCAGTCTTCATTGAACACATATGCAATTACCACCTTCACTCTTTTACTCTCCAAATTCCATGCTGAGGAAGCCCTCACAGGTAGTTAGCATGTCCATCCAGCCTCTCTCTATTCCTCCATCCCCTGCAGGGTGTCAGGGCTGACCCAGAGTAACAGGTCAGTGTGACTGAGACCTGCTGTTCCAGAGGCTGCTTGTTTATGGGGCTGCACCCCAAACCCCTTGTGACCTTGGACAATTCATTTTACTTTCCTTTACAATGAGTCCTTTGGTCTCCATGGGAGGAAGGTTTCAAAGTGGAAGGAGTAGGAGGATGGGGTGAGGGCATAGTGAGGGGCAGGACTCCAGCAGCCCCACCCTGCCCCCTGCACTCCCCTGGTTTACCAAAGCAGCAGTGCTCTTGGTGGTTTTATGTATTGAACTCATACATAAAGCTTTGCATGAATGCAAGTCTCTGATGCCACTTCTCACAAACACCTAGTGTCAATTCCCTTGAATTCCATGACCTTTGGCCAGGGTGTAATCACGAGTCATATTTATGATTTATGGGCAGATGGCAACTGGCTTTGCCAGTTCTTCCATTCTCAGAGTGGGGGAAAAGGACAGAATGTAGACTCCTCAATTCAGAGCTGATGCCACCGTTCATTGTGTGTCCTTCAAGGAATCAGAAAGGGAAGGTGAATAGGACTTGCCCTGCCGGGTCTCCAACACAAGGAGGTCACATTCCTGAGCTGGTATGGACATAGCAGAACCTGTACCTTGTGACTTCTCTGGAGATGAGAGCAGCCAGCCACTGATCCTCAAAGTCCACCCAGAAGCTTAAGAGTGGCTCGTTTCTACACCCTGACTACCCGGTACCAAGCACCATTCACCCTTGGATTTTATCACTCAGTAGCTATGCTTTCAGAACTGCTTGCTCTACTTTCTACTCTTAGGCTTTTCCCATAGATAAGAATAAGCCCCCAGAGAAAGTCAGGGGAGGACTCTTGCTCTTTTACAACAAGCCATGCAAGACTATGCACCCCACAAACATGCACATACACCCTGTATGCATGCCTACTTCCCTTATTGCTCTCCCATGCATCCAGCATATCCAGTGTACACATGCACGTGCGAGCCTACACACAAGTCTCCTCTTTCACCTTATTAACACATGAGCACCCTGTATGCATATGGTGCACATACATGGTTGTACACACAACAGCACAGCACCCACACACACTTACATAAACCTAATCCCATCCTCCACATCCACAGCACCCCATGTACATACACTTACACTTGCTGCACACCCACCCAGAAACACACTCTTACCCACACAAGCCACTACCCAGGAATCAAAGTCAAAAGCATGGAAGGTCCACTAGCAGCCAGAGCCCTGGAAAGTGAAACTTGTTTTTCCGTCTTGGCTTTTTCCAACAGACAGACTCTGCCGGTGGAGGAGGCGGGGAAACTGCCAAGTCTGCCCAAAGGTGAGCTGGCTAAAGGCCCCCACAGCTGCACAACAAGCTCATGCCCTGGGCAGAAACAGGGCTGGGGCCGGGTACACAGTGAAACATTTGTCAGATCTCCAGAGATTTTTAATCAAAAGGGAGAGAAAAGGCAAGCACACAATACTTCACAAAAGTACACAGTAGTAAGTAGGCTCTGAAAGCTAGGACGGGGCACAGAGCTGCGAGAGGAGGCAAGGGGCCATATGTCTGGCCACAGTGGTTTTAAAGATCTGGCCTGGCTCCTAGGGATGAGATAAGACTGTGACAGGCAGAGACAGTAGGGAAGGGCTATCCAGGCAAGGGAAAGGCTGCAGAGACTAAAGAATTCGCAAGTCCAGAAAAGGCAGAAAAAACACATTGGACTTGGGATTTATTTGGGGCCTTCGGTACTGGCCATACAGGATTTTGAATGCCAGGTGAGGATTTCTGGGGAGGATGGAAGAGCCTTCAATGACCTTACAGACTGGAGAATGATGCAAATCCACTCTGTTTGAGGAGTAACTTGGTATTGTGGGCACAATGGGTTAATCAGGAGAGTCCCAGAGACAGAGACACAAAATGCAAGAGTAATAAGGACTCTAAATGAAATAATGGCCATGAGTGGAGGGGAAAAGGGCAGAGGCAGCAGTCTCTTCCAGGAGGGACGCAATGCCAAAGACTTCCACGGCATGAAGAGTTCAGGAGAAGGTTAAAAGATGTAATTTCTCCTGAACATGGAGAGTCTTAGAGAAAAGTGGGGCAGAACTGATTGTCATCAAATATGCAGGTTTTTTTGTTTTATCTGTGGTACTGGGCATTGAACCCAGGGCCTATGCACTGAGCTACACCCCCCCCACACACATTCCCTTTAAATTTTATTTTGAAACAGGGTCTTGCTAAATTGCCCAGCTTAGGATCAAACTTTCAGTCCTCTTGCCTCAGCCTCCCAGAGTGACATGGGATTACAGGTGTGCGCCACCATGTCCAAATTTGAGCGGACAGATTTTTAACTGAGAAGAGAGGTCAGACATGGACAGGAATGTGAATGGGACAGTAGAAGGCAGGGAGGCAGAAGGAAAGGGGGAGGATACAGGGACTGTGAGAGCAGAGAGATGAACCAAAAGAGGGAGAAGAGTAGAAAGAAAGGAACACTAAAATTCACTGAACTGAGCCCTAGGGCACTGCACATTATCTCCCTTCCCCTATAAACAACACCTTGAGGAAAGTATCATTACCATAATCACCACCATCATTGTTCCCCTTTCATAGATAAGGATAATAAGGAGCATAGAGGTGAAGTAACTTGACCAACATGTCAGAGAAAACCTGTTATATCTGCCTCTTGTTCATCCTCTTTCTACTAGATAGCACTGGCCAACTATGGCCCATAGCCAAATCAGACCCACCTCCTATTTTGTAAAACAAGTTTTATTGGCTCCTAGCCAGTTCATTGCCTCATATTTTGGCCATAGCTTCTTTATGCTATCATGGCAGGATTGAGATTATGAGCCCTAAAACAGTGATTATGAGCCCCACAGAGATTATATTATTATATTATTATATTATATTGACTAGCAGGCCCTGTAGACAAGAAGTTGGCCAATCTCTGGCCCACTCATGGTATATATTTTAGAAATGTGAGGAGGAAGGCAGTGTGGAGAGCCTAACTGGAAGTCACCAATAATAATAAGGGAATGATACTATGAAGGTAAAAAAGAGGAAAAAACCTTGGAGATCATATTAAGAGTGAGGGGAGAGCCGGGGATTTAGCTCAGCAGTTCGGTGGCCTGCCTTGCAAGCGCAAGTACCCGAGTTCAATCCCCAGTACCAAAAAAAAAAAAACAAAGAAAAAAAAAATCACTGAGGGGAGCTGACCTTAAAATGCCTCCAAGAGGTTGAAGCCTACAGAAAGATGACAAGTCTTGGCAATGGGCCTCTATTAATAGATGGGGAAAGATCAGATTGATGTTACTCTTTGAGAGACAGTTGGGAGGCACAAAGAGTGGGTGCAGAGGAGACTCCCAAGTATTTTGTGATGAAATTAGAGAGACAGCTGTTGCCTGATGGCATAGCTGGCTTGAGGTCGGATGTTTGTAGAGGAAGAGATACCGAAAATTGGGCAGGCTGGTAAATGGAGGAGGGGAACCCAGTAGAGAGATAAAGAGGATAGTGAGGCGATAAGTGAAGATAGACCTCTGAACATGTGCCAGGTGGGAACGGAGGGAAACATCCCGAGTCCAGCAAGGCCATCGGTTTGCCTACAGGGAAGGGTGGAGAGAACACAGTGGAGTATGCTCAGCCAGTCACTTATTTTCCTGAGCTCATTCATGGCTTACAACTCTCGAGTAAGGGATATAAATCCCTATTTTACAAGGTGGGGTGGGGGACTGAGCCTCAGTTTCAGGGTTAGTCCAAGGGAAGCATACTATTGAAGGACAGCACCAGGATCCAAGCCTGATTCAGGCTGCCTCAAGAACGATGCTTGTCTCACCACACAGAAGCTTGAAATGATGGCGCTGAGTCTCAGCTGATGCATTCCATTTTCATTTACTCAATATAGGACCTGTCCGATGGAAAAGAATCAAAGCACCCATGAGAATGATGTGAATGACTGTGAATGCCACTCTCAATCTAGAGCCCAGAAGCACTCTGCCAGGATACTGGCATGGCTGCCACTGCCCCAGCTGTTCGTGGAGAGCCTCAGGAACCATGAAGTCTTCCTAGTGGGGATTTAATGGCAGCCACGCTGCTGCAGACTTAGATGCCAAAAGAAAAGTCCCATCTTTGCCACTTCTCTGGTCAGTGTCCTTCAAAAAAAAACCTGACAATTGGGATTCCCTGCAAGCCCACATCCCTCATGTTGTTGCTACTTCTCTGACTGGCCGGACAGATTCTGTGAGCCCCTGGAGGGCTCCACCCTGCCCACACTGTCCAGTGAGCGCATGGAACAGTATGTGAATGTACAACCAACGGTGTGTATGAGAGGACTCTCTCCTCCTCCACGGGGAGAGCTGAGCACTCTGCTTGCAGCCCCACCCACTTGTGCAGCCTGGCTCACATTGAGCTCTAAATCAGCTGAAACCCTCTGAGCATTTGTCTGACTGACAAGCTAGGTCTCCGCTGTGCTGTGCGTGTGTCATTCACTCCATGACCTTAAAAAGGCAAGACTTAATTTTTGGCTGAAATTGCATGTGGTTAAGAGCAGCCCAACTATAGCAACCCTGAGGGTCAGCATTCCTCGGGTGATCTGATAGATGGGCTCTGCTTTACCACCCAGGCTTGACATGTCTCACTAATTTATATCTCCCCGAGTCTAGTTTTGTATTTTGTATTTATATTACCACTCCTCAAAATGTGTACATGTTCCCTTTAAGCTGCCTCATATATTTTATGTTGTGAGGCAGTTAGCTAAATAAAGAAGCAGATCTGGACTGGTGTTTTCACTTGGCAGCATAATTCTGAATCTGCGTGATTTCAAAGCCCCAGTTGTAAGGCACTGTCTTACTGTTGATTGAACCTGTGAATAGATTACTCATGGACCATGGCAGATCACGGTGTGATGGAAGCAGAACGCAAATTACCCCAACGTGTGCCATTTTCACCATCTCTGTCCTCAGCCACCAGCCTGGCTTCTCAGAGTTACGCTGGGCTCAGAAATATGAAAATTTCTGCACGAAAGAACATTCCAGTGAAGGCATTGAAAGAAAGATTCCTCTCCTGTGCAGAGTCTTCCTTGACTAAATTTACAGGTACTTCTGTTATCACCCCAGACGGTGATTTCTTTGTGGGTCTGAACTGACTGCGTATCATGAGAGTGCAACTCTTACTTGGGATTCTGAGGTGAGCATAGAAGAAAAGTTACAAATAATCAAAATCACTCTGTCCTCAGGAAGACTCTGTATTAAGGCCTCGTAACTACTCTTGGTGAGACTAGTTGGGTGCTTTGTTTTTTGGGTTTTTGTTTTTTTTTAATTCTAGGAATGAAACTGTTTGCTATTTCTTTGGTTGGATATCAAATGCAATCATTGGCTTTCACTTAGCAGAAGCCACATTATTCAAAATATGCAAATCTTGAAAAACTAGGATCACACTCAGCCCAGAACATATGTTCACATCTAAAAAAGACTAAAAGAGCTGAGAGTGGCTAAGCAGTAATTGATTTCCACCTCAAACAACACACTCACTCCAGGGAATTTCTCTCTCTCTCTCTCTCTCTCTCTCTCTCTCTTTCTCTCTCTCCTTCCTCTATCTGTTACTGTATCACATAAAGACAGTGACATGTATATACAATGGTCCTTCATATAGGGCATACGATGTTTGACTTCTAAATTTTTTCTCCCACGTTAGAAGACATGAGCTTGCAAGATGGAGCATCTGAGCAGTCTTTGGAAATTGGGAGGGGAGTATAAATGTGTGATAACAGGACAGGAAGTAAATTAAAATTCAGTTCCAGCTGATATCTTACTAGCCTTTAGATTAGTCCTTAGGGAAAAAGGAAAGATTCACAGTGAAAAGACTTTGGAATTTATCCTCTACCACCCTGGAAGCACCTTTACAAAGCTGGCATAGAGAAGGTACACCTAGACGGTGCATGCAGATATTGGAGGACAATCCCTGTAGGGTGAGGCTTGGTCCAACACTGCATATCTGTAGAGACAGTGTCCAGAGACTCCTTAGGGTTCTGAATTAGAGACAGAAGCATGGAAGACAATCTTGGAGATCATGAAGCTGTGCTCTTCTAACTAAATGCAAATCTCCTGGGTATCTCGTTGAAGGCAAATTCTGATTCAGTTGGTCTGGTGAGGCTCTGAGATCCTGCCTTTCTAACAGGCCCTAAGGTTCTGCTGGTGGTGAAGCCTGTGACCCATGAAGAGCAAAGATCTTCAGCAACCCAGTCATTTCAGAGATTGAGACCCTGAAGTCTGCAGGCGAAGTGGCTTTTGCAAGTTCAAGTAGCTGAAAGCACCTGGTCCAGGTCTGGAGCCCAAGTTTTCATTCTCCTCCAGAAACAGCTAACTAGCTTCTCCCAAGCCCTGCAGGGCCTCAGGCAGAACAAACAAGTAAACTGGGCTGGGGATTTAGCTCAGAGGTGCTGTGCTTGCCTGGCAAACTCAAGGCCCTGAGTTCAATCCCTGATACCAAAAAAAAAGGAGGAGGACGAGGAGGAGGAGAACAAGCAAGCAGAGAATCAGCCAGGGGAAATGAGGCATGCTCACACTGCAAGTGAGTCATGCACCTTCACTCCTCGGGCACCAATCTGGTTGTGCTTCAAGCCAAGGAGTGAGCAGCACTCCACACTGCTCTGCGTCACTCCAGATGTCAGAGAGCTGAGTGCACAGGTGCCCATACAGATGAGGAGACAGGTGGGGCTCCCTAAGCTGTGCTATGTATGATCTGAGTTTGTCGTCCCAGCAGGTTTTCCAAGGAGCTGGGGTTGGTAACTCCTACTGCTCTCCAGGACCACCTCCTCAGCCCCTCTTCCTATTGGTTCCCTAGGAAGACAGATGGGAATTTTCACATACCTGAACTCAATCTACCCTGCCTCGTAGGGGCTGAGTGGCCTTGTAGGTGGCCCTAACCAATCAAAAGATGTTAATAGTGACATCGCAAACACAAGTATCTTAGGTGATTCAGCACTGACCTTCTGAAACCTCCTGAACTGGCAAATAACTTTGAACATCCCATCTTCCCTTTGTAGAAATCAAAACGTAGAGCTGTAAATCTTAAAATCATTTTGCCAGGCTCATAATGATTCGAGAAATGTAAGACCTGTCATTTTAAAAGCTATTTAGAGTAAAGCCTGCCACTAATAATCAAGCCTGCATATAACTTCATTCCCATGCTTTATTGCACACATGACTAATGGGGAACTAAACAGTCCAGAGGACCCAACTAAAAGCCTTAAAGAACCTCATATTTGACCCATCTTTCAGTGTAATTACAATATGGGAGCAAAAGGGGAGCTTACTGTGGCTGGAATACAAACCTCCATCAAGGTTGAGGCAGTCTTTGAAATGTATTTGCCTAAAAGACCAAATACATAACCTGAAGCTAAAGGGAGCTAGTCAGACAAACTCACCTCAGTAAAAGAGATTTTCTGCAGGTACGTTCATCTCCTTTCATCTATCAAGAGTCCATATTTGTTTACGGAAAGAAATCTGTACTAAGGGTTAGACTGGCTTTTAGGAGGAAAAAAATATCTGCAATACTGGCATCTACAGTTCAGCAGTGAGAAGTGTCCAGCATAGACTTCAGTTGTGTTGGTTCCTGGTAGACACACTGACCATCCAGAAGAAGATGAAATAGGAAGTGACGACTTGTAGCTAACTTAAATTGTGTAGGGGTTTCACAGGATGTTCCAAGATTCCCAGGAGTTTCTTGGAAGGGTCATCATACAAAAGAAATGAAGGCCAGCCAATAAAACAAGGATAATAGCCAATCACCCCTTTGAGGGGAGGCTTGGGATAAAAGGCTCAGAATGCTGAATATGAGTCCCAGGATGCCAATGCTTTGCTGTGTGAGAAAGCCCTTTTCTTAAAACAAAGGGAAGTCCAACGGTGACTGACTGCACCGAAACAATATAGCCTCACACTCACATTCATTCCTTTATGCAACTAATAGTCACCTCTGGCCTCATTCCACCCGGGTCCCAAGGAGTGCCCCTCCTCAGAGATCCCTTCCATTTGAATCTGGTACTTGAAGAAAAAAGAGGAGGCAGTAGGATGCAGATGACTTCACTCTGCTCCCCTCTTCACTGAGCTGCTGGCCTCACAACTCTCCCTGTCAACATGAGGAGAAATGACACAAATATAGACATGACACACTATTTTACAAGTTAACCACTTAGCCACTGGATTTGGCCTGACCCTGCTTCCCAGATACAGACATCCAGTTTACAATGATCTCTATTTCATTTCTTTCTGGCTTCTCTTTCTCCCAACTGGCAACTCCTGTACTAGCCCGAGCCCCAAGAAACGATGTTTTCCTCCTCACCCAGCTTGCTTTCGAGCCCAAGCCATAGTCCTATTCCACAGTGAGAAGGGCAGAGGCCCCTGGACTGAATTCCCTGGAGCATGCCCCTGACGCACAGCCTCAGCTCAGATGTCCTCTCACCCCTGGCCCCATCTTCCTCACCAATCGTCTTCACCATCAGCAATCTTGGACTTTGCCACTGTTCTTTCCCGAGTCCCTGTGTACCTTCCTGACGGCAGCTACTTAGAAGCGGAACTTCAGCTTCTCTCATGAAGAGTCCAGGGACTCCGCATCGAGGTCTAGGCTCTCTCTGACTGCCTGGGAGCAAGAAAGCTGTGGTTATCAAAGTGCAGCCCAGGGGCCAGCAATAGTCACCTCACCTGAGAACTTGGTAGAAATAGTTTCCAGACTCACAAAAGGCCATGACCGTATTCTCATTCCCTCAGAACTTCCCTGGTTTTATGGTTGATGGTCTCACATCCTAGGTACCCCCTGGTCCTGGGCAAATCAAGATTTACTCAGTCTACTCTCTCCCTATCCGTGACTTGCTAAATGACTAGCTCTGGAGGTGGGGCCCAGTGACACATAGCCAACAAGTCCTCTAGGGAATTCTGATTCATGCTCCGTCAAGCACTAGAACTTCTAAACCCTAAAGGGTTCTGGGCACTGATCTTAGACCTGTCTAAAGTGAACCCTTTGTGTGACTCTGTGTTCTCTACCCTCTCCTGGTAGCAGAAAAGCAAACCTTGTCCTGCTGTCTGTCACATGAAGTCCAGCCAAGCTAAACTAGCCCCAGGCAGCTCTCTCAGCTGTGCAGAATCTCATGTTCTGGCCCCTATACAGCCCCACTTTGCCTGCAGTTGGTGTTCTGGCCACTGAGGGGGAGGCACAGGATATGCCTCCTGTCTCTTTTGGATTGTGTTTTTTCAAGTGTGAAGTTTTTCATTGTTTGGGAAGACAGCCAGGTGAGGTAGGGGTTATGGCCGGGTTTGGTATACGGAAAAAGAGGGAGGAGGCAAGTGAGAAGTCCAGGCAGAAGGAAGTATGAGAGGTATTGAGGGATGAAGCGGTCTAGAGGGAGATTCACATAAGGCTGCCATGGGGAACTGAAGAAAGCGTGGAAGAGAGAAGTTGACGCGGGAGTGCGTGGAGAAAGAGTGTTCCTCAATGCGCAGTCTTCCCGGACCAACATCAGCATCCCTTGGGGTGTTCTTTAACTTGCAGATTCTCAGTCTTATCCCCAAACCTACTGAATTAGGAATTCTGGCAGTTAAACTCATCTGTCTACATTTTCAGAAGCCCTCCCAGTAACTCTGATGCAGGCTACAGTTTGAGAACCACTGGGCTGAACAATTCTATTTCCTCACGTAGGAAGCCCCAATGGTAGGTTTGCCCCATGCTTATTGTCTGTCTTGAAACTGACTCAGAAGAGAGA